AAACTTGTGAAAAAAAAAAAGTACTTGTAGGAAATTGTGGACAGGCCAGTGCTCGCCAAAGGAATATACTTCCTAATTTTCGTCCACATTTGAACATAAAACTATCTGTAATGTGCCTATTTTGGTTATTTCTTTCCTCATTGAAAAATATTACTTTTCATTATTGTGTATTGATTTTTACACTGTGGTTTTATCATTTCACTGAAAGATTTCTCCTTGGAAAATCACACAGGCTACGTTTAAGAAAATAACTTCAATACTGTGGCAGTTTTAATACACTTTGTTGGTTGAGTCATCTGAGAATTCCTTGCTCAGATATTAAATATATTGCTTGAAAACCGGACAAAATTACAATTTCTGTTATAATGTTGTACAATATCAGAAGTTAATATACATCTATATTTAATGCTGCCCAATTTTTACAACTTCTTCACTGCTGTGAGCCCTTTGGTTTGGAGAAAATAGTAATTAAAAGAGAAGTGCGCCTGTCACTACATATCATCGATCTTCATTCAAGTTAACTTCGTTGGTTCAATGCAGCTTAGCGCGAACGAAAAAGTCATAAAACAAAGTCCACGCAGGCCTAGTAGGAGGGAAATGGCCATACCTTAATCGTTATGGGCGACGTCGTTTTATCATTTCCTTCGGCTGTGTAGACAGTTTGGCTGCTTGCTGCGGATTGCTGATGCCGGTGTGAGACGTCAAAAGTTCTACCTGTCCTTCCTGGTCAACAGCACACACCTCGTGATGAATGAAAACACGCGGTTCCACAGGCATGAGCTAGGACACCTACTTTTAAAGGACTTCTGCAAAACAAAAAAAGGAGAGCCCAAATGTTAATACAAAGCTCAGAGATGGTCAGAAATGCAGATCAGAGGATATCGCTACACTTCCCCTTTTTTACGAATTTATGGCATGTCATTAAGTCCTGCTGTCTAGACAGGGAAATGGCACGTTGTTTGCCTACAAACAAACCGCCTGCATTGGTGTCCAGCTCCCCATTTATTATTCACAATCTGCTGTGATTTCAAGGTCAAAGTGACTGCATAGTCATGGTCAAGGGTAAATCGGGAGTCCCAGAACTTTTCCACGAGGACTGCAAATCCAGGAACCAGACAAACACAAACCTGAAGTCTGACAGTTTGGATCACAATCAACAACCTCAGAGGAAGCTGGAAAATGTACATCCCAGCCAACGACGCGCCCAGAGCCTATACTAGTACAGTTTAAAAGAGCAAGCAAACAAAACAAAACAAAAACCTAAACTTGCACATTAATTACAACGTCAGCGTCTTCATATAGCTACAACTTATGACGCTCAAATGCTGAGGCCTGAGACGTGAATTATTTAGACTAAAGAAAGACAGAGACAACATTTGAGGAGTTTGTTCAGATTATAAACTCACATTACACACTTGAGTCAACTAAGACTTAAGGAGAATAAAGAAAAACAACTTCAAATGTGATTAGTCTAGTGTCCGGACAGTTATTGTCCATTTTCTTAACTGTAGCTGCCCATAGACAACTTTCCGCAGCCTACGCGCGGTTTACAAAATATGTAAATGGATATATACTTTGTAAATAAAACTATGTGACTGCAGCTTTGGACTGGTCTTTATGAGAGCACACATGCATTAATGTATGTGCCTGGATGAACACAATAAGTTAATATGTGACAATTGTACGTGAATCCTCAAGTTCACAGCAAAACTCACCTGCGCTTTTTTGCCTGCTCAAATAGGCACAAGCAGATATAACCGGACACAATCAAAGGTCAAACAGGCGCCTGGCTACGAAAGCTTTCTCCTTTTAATTCACTCCAGTGTTAATATCTTAGCAAAAAAGAAATCCAATGCCTTAAACACAGCAGATGCTCACTGCACTGTTAAGTTAGTTATAATTTTCCCATTCTCAGCCAACAACAGTTCATTTCTATCTGTGGACTATTGAAAAGAGTAAAAAATAATATCCCGTTAATGTTTCTGTGAGAGTTGAGGCATAAATCAGTTGATTTGCTTTCCGGCTGCTTGGTATCAACTTTGGCCTTCACTTTGATTAAACGTACGATGGGAGTTGATGGGAAGGGTGGAATAGATCTGGACAGAGAGCGACTGTCTCTAAACCTAAATGAAATAAGAGACACTGCAAGTCCTATTAGAGCAGCTCCAACTATCAGGATTTATTTAGCATTTTTCCTAGTTTGCAAATATTAGAAATATGCATCGCTGCTCACTAAACAAACCGAATCACTGTATCAGCCCTTGAAGCCATTAATAAGACTCCAGGATGCCCAGTAAGTCTTAATCAAGCACCTCGCAACATAAGTCTTCTCTCGTCCGTCCGCTATTGATGGTAGAAAGTCAAGTTGAAAAGAAAAGATGAGTGGGCAGAGCTTTTGCTGCCTAATACCGCCGGTGCAACGTGGAGGGAAAGGAAATGCTGCAAGCAGGATGTCTGTCTGACTTGGTTATTTGAGCATTTTCATAATCATTTATTTATAAAACACCATGTAATCCAACACCACAATACAGCACAAACATACTGCACGGAATTACAGGCTTCGTACAAGGCGCGTGATCAGCTCCAATGCTACACTATAACAAAGGCAAAATAAAACGATTGTGCATTTATGTGTAATACTCACTGACTTTTAATGGGTTACAATCATTCCAGTTGCATGACACAGTCCTCCACTGATAAAGGAAAACATACAGGTTTTGCATATTCCGGTTTACAATTCCGCCATAATATGAATTAAATAAAAGGCATTGCACTATACAGATTAACAATATAGCAGTCTTTGTTTTACCCCAGGCTTAAGAAAACATATCTCACGCAGAGGAGCATAGCATTTGAAATTAAAAAGGAATATTTGGGGAAGGGGGGGGGGAGGTGGGGGGGGGATCATTCTTTCTCAAGAAAGTCCTCTCTGTGAGCTTCTTGTTGAAGCTGTTTAAGTTTCGAGTTCAACGCTTCATTATGCCACAGTTCTTGTCCAAATGGCGATATTCTTTTTAAAATAACACCAAATGAACCGTATTCTCTGTTCTGATCTGCTCCAGGTCTTAGAAATGTCATCAGTCCTTTAGAGATTTGGCTTTGGAAAAAAAAAACACGCAATATTTTTCTTTGAAATACAGATATCGTTTTAAATATTATATATTTATATATGTACATTCCTATAAAAACAAACGTGAAGTGAATTTTCAATATTTTCACAGTTTTAATCTCTCAATTGAAAGCAGGGGGGTGTGGTCGCGTGGTCGATGGAGATTATGGACCTTAAATTAGAAAACACTCAGCCAAAATGATCTTCAACCACGATTTTTGTTGGTAAATATATCGTTGGATGTTTCAGAAAGTATGAGTTGCAGTTTCAAGTAGGTGGCTGATATTATCAAGTGGCGTGCATGTGATTGTTCTTGGATTTACTGACAAACTTCTTCTCCTTGACTCGCCGGTTTTGGAACCAGATGGTGACTTGGCGCTCTGAGAGGTTGGTGGCGGCCGAGATGCGCCTTCTCTTGTCTTTGGTGATGAACTTGCTGGCTGCATACTCTTTCTCCAACTCCTTCAGCTGGATCTTGGTGTAAGGGACACGCTTTTTACGCCCACGACGGTAACTGCTGACCTCAGGCTGCAATGGCACAACATCTTAAGGAGAAACAAAAAGAAATTGGACATAAAATATTAGACTGTGCGCCAGAACACCACAAGGTTTCACCACACAACGCCATTAGCACTGCAATGGCCGAGATCCGTGTATTTCTTTTACATATTGACTTTACCAGACAGAAAATACGAGTAGTTTTCAAATAATTTAACGTTCAAAGTCAGACCGCTTTTCCATCACCCTCTCTCTCTCTCTCGCTCACTCTCTCTCTCTGTGTGTGTGTGTGTGTGTGTGTGTAGGGTGGGGGTGTAGCAGTAGGCAACAGAAATGCTGTTGCAGTCGAGATCTCAGGTGTACTGCACCTGACATATGGGAACACAATTATAAAAACGTCTAAGTGAATTCACTCGTGTAAAATCATTACACAGTGACAGGCCATGAATAATCAAGTTACAGCCACTACAGCTGTGCGATGTTTCCACAGTGATAGGATCAGGGGGCCACTACAGCTGTGCGATGTTTCCACAATGATAGGATCAGGGGGGTTTTTTTTGGCTCAATCTCCTGGTCGAACTGGATCTACTAAACAACCGAACAAACATTGTTATTAGTATCTGAGATATGTCTCTGCTTCAACTTCCTGTGCAGTTATAAATTGCAATAAATCTCGGTGTGGAAACAATATTTCGACCAGCGCTTGGTTAGAACAGAGAAATGAGAATGTGTCAAATAAACTAGTAACAACTGAGAACTGTTTGGGGGATTCAGAAACTACGCGTTAAGAACAATTTCACAACAGTGAACAATGTTTTAAAACACTTCCTTAATTTGACCTAAAATGTAAATATCATTTTTTTCCATTGTATTCCTTCTACATCTTTTCAAAAGTCACAGTACTTTTGGCAGTGTTTACTTTGACTGTTCAGGTAAGCAAACTTCTGGGATTACGCCCTTGCGCCAAGACTGGAGCTGAGTGCGAACTAGCCAATGAGAAATATGACAGGACAAATATGGCGATACCTCTGGAAACAGTGGCAAGCTCGGAGACACGCAGCTTTTACCCCCGTGTAGCTTTAAAGGTAGGGACTGTGGATATAACTCCACAGTTCATGTAAGATTCTGGAAGCCCAATTTAGGCCAAACGATAGTCGAGTATTATCCTCACGACACTCTTGTTATTCTTATGTGTTAAATATTGTGTCAGAGGTCATTTGAGGCCGAGTTCCGCTCACTGCTGTTGAATTTTTTATTTTATTTGAAGGCAAAATTGTTCCATCTATGTGTGTATGTGTGTGTGTGGGGGGGTGTGCATGTGTGTTAGTCTGTGTGTGCCTGCGAAGCAACACAGAAGACATACACAGCGCGCGCTTGTGTTCTCTACATGTGAGCGCGCATTTGACTGCGCGCCCGTGCTTGCGTGGCTTGCTCCTATGCATTTTCAATATAAGGGGGGCATATGTCATGTGTGACGTTCAGTAGGAGTCCGAGCAGCTCCATGTCTGAAATTAAAATACCTACAGGTTTCTCTTGTACTAAAAGAAGCGGCGTAGTAAACACTGCGACCCGCGTGCTGATCAAGCCCGTGTACATTATAGCCTATCATGCATGTTGTCTGATAGTAAGTAGAAAGGCGAGCCTGAACTGTCATGTGAACCGAGCAGTGACAGTGTGACAGTGACTTGTCATTTGTGTTGAATGATGCTGACATTTGTATGCAATGCAAATGTTTCCCAAATGAATCTGGATAAACGCAAAAGGCTGTGGAGAGGCTACACTGCAGGGCGCCGAGATTTACTGGCACAAGCCAAAAACAGTAGGCTAGCTTAGTCAGTGCACTGTCGTGCAGAGGGCAAAGGTACGTACTGGTGATCTTTTTATGTTCTACGTGACCGAAACTGAACTGTATTCTTTTTAATCATATGATGAATTCAAATAATATATGACTTCATATAGTCATATGACTTGAAGTGGAAAGGAGCTGAAAACTGCTGAAAGCAAAAGGCCCAGGCAGCTGAACAGCCACTTGAACTCAAAACTTTTTGAATTTTTCAATTTTAAGAAAGTGCATAACGATTTGTTTAATGTCAAACTGAGGATAATAATAATCAATAATCACAGATTTCATAAGGGATATGTGGTAATCGACATATGTTTACTGAGCACATTTAATGCTCCCATGCATGAACTTCTAAGTAAGTTGATATTGGCACTTTAACACAATACAATTTAGAGACTAAGAAATACGATCTCGGCAGAGTAAAATTATCTGATATTTAAATAGCTTTCTTAATGTGATGACACAGGTATTACAAGCCTACAAGCCACTGAACTATCATATGAATTCCAGTGTGTTGGGGGGAAAATTTTCAAACTATTTTTTCCATACCTGGGAAAGGTGATTTCCAAAGATGGGTCGACTGTGTTTGTTCTTTGGAGCAGTACACCTGCCCATCCCAACCATTGGAGAGAGCCCAGTGCTGGTAGCCCTCCATGGGAATCAAGGCGTCGTGCCGCGGTTCAGGATGGGCGCTGATGCTGGGAACCACTGACACGTCTAGATATCCAGGAACAGCCTGATATGAGCTGGCGAAACTCGGGTAGAAGGCAAACTCTTTCGCCCTGGTAGACAGCTCCTCCGAGGGCAGCGCTGTGCTAGGCTCGGGATATTTCTCTGCGGGGTGGTACGAGCAAGGTTTCTGCTGCAAGTTCACGTTGTGCGAATGAGATAATCGACAGCCATAATATGGGTTTCCAAAGGGATAACCGTAGCTCAAAGATGCACTCGATGATGTCTGCGGAGCTGGACACTGCCGACCGGGGTCTGGAGAAGAAATATCCGAGTAGACGGAGCCTTGGTGGGTCGCTATGGTGCCAGAATGTCGTCCCAGAGCGGGGTGCGACATCAGCTCCCTGCAGTGGGTCGCAGGGCAATTACCGCTCAGTCCCTCCATTGTTTGGCTTTTATTCTGGTTGTTTTCATTCGGGCTTTTTTCGTAAACGTACATCAAGGAGTCTGCCCAGCGTGGATGCAGAACCAGCGAAGTCGTCATATCAGGGGCTGCCGATGCTTTTTAAAAGTCGACTTCTCCAAGACGGACAGCTCATTTCCAACTACATTTTACACCACGCGCATGCGCACCAGGGGACCTCGTGTGTCCACTTTATTAAGGAATCTGGCACGTGATACGGTAACAAGTCCTACGAGATTGGGCTTGCGAGCTGGGGCAGAGCAGCCCTTTAAAGAGCCACTACCTAATGTGTCACAGCTTTTTCCTGCAGAATACCGAGTCACACCATTGGCTTAAGTCACATAGACCCAGATTCTTAAAGGGGAGTTACTTTCAAGAGCGGGGCAAACGAAAACAACCTGTGAAATTTGGCCGACTCCGAGAACTACCAGTAAATATAAGGGCCTATGATACATGTTGCAGCTTGTGCATGGGAAATAAAATAGTCTATAGGTGATATCATTTTAATTCAATCTTTGAATCTAATACAATTTGCTTCCAGAAGCACTGGTGGACAGATGTTGTGTCTCACTGGGTGAGAGAGACGTTTCGACTGAGATTCAGTTTGCTTATTAAATGTGATAATAAACGGAACATGACTTAATCGGGAATCCGAGGTCTGTTGCCAATTTAATGTCTATCAAGTAACAATGGATTACGAAAATACAGAGCTGTCCAAACAAATGCATCTGTGAAGCGTTCAGTCTTTCCAAGACTCCTTCCATTTCCAGTACAGCCGTGCACAGCCTAAATGCCGCTGAGTCACCTATGAACACAGGTGAGATTCTGTGACCAAAGGCTACTTCTCAGCAGGATTTAATGAATATGTTTACTACTAATGCTGCCTTTCAGCAGTCGATACTATGGAACACAAATGTAGATGATTATAGCTTTAGAGTATTGTTATTTAATCGGTCAGGTAAACATAGGATACTTTGGAGTCTACAGGATGTGTGTGTGTGTGTTAGGTGCAGAGCTAGGGGCTTTAATTTTAATAAACCTGAATATGATCAATGAGTGTCGTTGCACTTTGGAAGCAACAGGACGAGGTGAAAGCTTTTCCAGTTAAGATACCGTGATTACAAATTGCATTACAGTACACGGTGTATCTTTATCTTGAAGATATAATTAGATTAGTAATCTACAGTGAATGAAAGCCTCGTTTAGCTTCAGAAATGTGACTGGGCACAAATATCTTTCTCGGTTAGATCTAAAAGTGCAGGATAATGTGACAGTTAAAATGACCATTACACGGATTCATGTGACGTTGCTACTTTACTACGTTATTCATTGAAGTTGATACTGATGCTTCCAGCCGAAAATAAGTCCAAGAGGTCGCTTTCGGCTCCAGACTTTATTTATTTAGACTCCATGGTGCGGACCTAGTTCCAGCAGAAACTTGGGCGCCATTATTTCACACGCGTCTTCCTGCAGATTTGAAGGACCTGACACTGTGCAAAGCTCATTGCAGAAACTAAAACGTCTTTTCTTTTTTAGTTCACCTCCGGACCATTTTATCACAACAGCTGAGCAAATCCTCTGTTCCTGTCCACTGCAGCACTTTCTTTAAAGATACTCCTGGGTTAATATTTAAGAGTTGACTGTATTTTAGAGTTTGTAACATTACTGTTGGGATAGGCCCACAGAGCTTCCAATAAAATAGGCTTTTTGTGATGCCTATCCCATGACTCACCCGGGCTACAAGCTGTCCTACAAAGGGTGTCTAACATTTCTGCACTTCTGAGGTGCTTTGAGAATAATCAGGCTACCTTAGTGCAGGGTGTTTATACTAAGAAAGCTTTAAGTCCAGTCCTTCCTTGGACAGAGACTGAAGTTCTTTTGTCTTAAGGAAATTAGAGCTACAATGGCTCATCCAAACGGCAGCTGCACGGAAGTCCAAGGTCAAGGTAAAAAAAAAAACCGCAGACAAACAGGGTCATAACCAGACAGAAAAGACTGAACTTCATATTAGAGTATAGACCCAAAACCAGCGGTTAAGTAGAGACCCTTAGTCTAAAATATTTGCTGTGTGTGAGGGAAGGGGCTTTATATAACCCCTTGTGATTTCATTTAAAGGATCAGGAATTGGACCGCATTTGCGCTGCAGCCGAATCATTTCAAACTAACATTTTTCCAAGCTCAGACTTTGGGAGATGAGAAGTTTTTGCTATCAATGAGTGGCTTTATGTTATTATTAGTTCGGTGCATTTTGTATTCACTCAGCCTAACGTCCGCATGGCCTAAATGTTTTTGGGCCATGGTAAAAGTTTCTCACTGGGCAAAAAAGTCTCAAAGATAATAGCTGAAGTTTTTAAACTTAGAAGAAATACTATGATTAAGTTATAGTTTATGTTGCAGTAACCATATTTCACAGGTTAAACCTGTTTGTGGTCTCCTCTGACAAATATGGATTGATTTTAATATTCACGTTTCAAGAAGAAACAAATGCATAATGAAGTAGCCAGATATTTTTTAAACACCATAAATTTGCTATTTTGACTTTATTTTCTTACTTTGTGATGAACAAATACATTTATTATACTGTTATAATCAGAGCAAAACGATCATATTTGTAACCCTCAAATTGTTCAATGCCCTGACACACCAGCTGCCTTATAAACCAGAAACATGTCAGCGACGATATTTAACCAGCAGCATCTCCTACGCACCCTGCAAAAGAGAGAGAGAGAGATAATGAATTCTAGAAGTTATCTATCTTTTATCTTTCGTCAGTAATGGGCAGGTAGTAGACACATTGGTGGTTTATTCAAGGATGAAAATATGTCGTTTAGGCATGATCCAGTTTCACATGCAGGGCTGTTTCATACTTAACACAATATTTCCATCTAAACTATCTATCAAGAGATAAATAATTTAACAACCAAAAGATTTAGCCTGCCAGTTTATGAACGATGATATTCACTAATCCAGGATAAAGTTTTACTTGTCCCCGAGATGAAATAGGTTACTCTGGTAATTGACTTTTTCCATGTACATTTTGTGACCAGGGGCGAAAAGAAAAGCTGTAGATCAGTAAACATGTGGATGTCAGTATCATTTCTCCAAACACCAAAAGTGAATTAAATTCCAATAGACTATGGCTAAACACTAAAATGTGGAGTCATGAAAACAACAAGAAATTTGTCAACAACAGAGTATCCTAAACGTTTTTGCATTAATATAACATTTTTAAACGGTGTTTAAAAAGGTGTTTTAAGCTTCGACGTGGAGGCTGCTTACTGAATGTTTATGGCGGAAGTTCACTGGAAACACCAATTTGTACAACTATTCGTTCATTTTCATTCCATTTTCTTTTCTTAAAAAGAGTTAAATAATGTGCAGGAAGACGTGAGATATTTCTTCTCCACTGTGGTTTTACCTGTTTCAGAGGCAGATACATGTCAGTGTCCTGAAAACCAGCCATGATATGCTGCTGTAACTATCTTGACAGTCAGACACCTTGTCCTTCCACACAGGCGCTGTCAGTCGGAGAGAGAGCCTGTCTGATGCAAAGGTTTGTGGGGGAGGGGAAGCACCCATCTCCTTACAAATGCCATCTACCTGCGGCTTCCGCTCTCAGGATCTGACTGCGTGCGCACATGACTGATCTACTGGATCTCATGCAAACAGAATATGCTCTTATAAACATACAGTAGCCTAGATGTGTTACCAAATGCCATTTTGATCCCGAGGAACAGGTCATTCCACTTATTGGAAAGCCATGTCTGTTTTTAAAATAACAATGATACAGATATCAAAAGGAAAAATGGAAATAAGTCAGATTAGCCCAATGGTCAGTTTCCTTTACCTTGATTTAGGGAAAAGCTATTGATCACATTATTGCAACGCAGTCCCGCCATCAAAATGACTTTGTCTCGGTGTGTCCTCAATACGTATCTGTGGGTTAAATGGCAATTAATGTCAATAATGATAAATACCATTACTTATTACATATTATTTCACCGGACTAGAAAGTGACGCACAAAGTCTATGAAGAGACCACGTAGAGATTGAAGAAGGTGGTGACAGCTTGCAGGTTGAGCCTACGCCATGCACGCTGAAACCAGGTTGCGTTCATCTTTATGAGTTTACAGCCAGTCTCAGGCTTAACTTTCAAATCAAGCTCAAAGGAACCTGAATGGAAATTTCAGGACACTAACATTTCAACCAAAACAACCAGATAGGTTTGCGCGCTGTAACAGTACAAAAGTCAGTGGAACTTGTGATTATTCATGAGGACTGGGAAGTTTTAGTAAACGTAGACATGTCCAACTCAGTGGAAAGTGTTTTAACAGATTCAATTGACTTAATGGACCGAAATCTGAGTGTAGTGCATTCATACATTTCATAGTAAATGGTGTGTGCCTCGTGAGCCTGGTTTACGTGTATTTTGCATTGAGGTTTGTGTTAATGCGACATTATCTTCTACAAAATAGCTTCTTTTTAGTATTGCTTTATGTGTGCATATCTCTTGACTTGTCTGTGTGTGTGTGTGTGCATAAAAGAAAGTGGGCTGTTGCAGCAGACAGCAGAGCAGAGCAGTTCACTTTATGAAAACATTCCTACAAAACTAAAACTAGATTTCAGTCTGGTGTTTTTCTGCTCAGCCCGGCTTCAAATTACAATCTAAAATGTTCAGAATCGTAAAACTAAGGCCAGTTGATTTCTATGCCAAAGGTCCGGGCACTGGAAGGCATGTGACTTTGTCAAGAAAAATGATTAACCTGTGGTTAACCTGTGTGTGCCTGAAAAACAGAATGATCTGACTAGATAATAAATACACACGGACATTTAAACGCAATGATTAGTATGCGCCAGTATATTACTATAAACATTTCGCTTCCTATTTCACTTTGCGCCAAGAGTCACAAATTGCTGCATTTCACATAAGATCTTGCTGCATATGCGTAAACAGTCCGTCACTAACCGCGCTTAGACTCCTTTTACCCACAAAGCCATTTTTTGTGTGTGAAATAGACTCTTCTTAATCTCTACGAAGTTAAAAGATCTGCAGCACATCCCATCTAAGAAAGTAGAGGCTTTAAAATCAGACATGAGGGCTTCTCTGAAATCCAGTTACTGTGTGTTCGTGTTGGTGGATAGCTTCT